CTTATCCGCCCGCGCAGCGCGCGCTGGGGCCGCCGATAGGAACGGGAGGCACCGGGGCCCGGCAGAGCCGGTTCTGCGGCCGGGACTGCGGCCGGGACTGCGGCAGAGCCGGGCGGTGCCGGGGGCGGGGAGGGGGAAACTGCCCGGGACCGCAGGAGCAGCGGCACCGGGGCACGGGCAGGTCCCGGAGCACGGGCAGGTCCCGGAGCACGGGCAGGTCCCAGAGCCGGGCAGGTCCCGGAGCACAGGAGCGGCACCGGGGCACGGGCAGGTCCCGGAGCACGGGCGGGTCCCGGAGCACGGGCAGGTCCCGGAGCACAGGAACGGCACCGGAGCACGGGCAGGTCCCGGTCCCGGAGCACGGGCGGGTCCCGGTCCCGGAGCACGGGCGGGTCCCGGAGCACGGGCGGGTCCCGGACCCGCAGGAGCAGCACCGGGGCACGGGCAGGTCCCGGTCCCAGAGCACGGGCCGGTACCGGAGCACGGGCGGGTCCCGGAGCCGCAGGAGCAGCCGGTGGTGGCGGCACCGGGGATGGGATCGCGGGGCCGGTCCCGGCTCGTTCCCCGGGGCCGATCGGGGTCAGCGCTGCCCGGTTCGGTTCGGCCCCGCCGGGACCATTCCCGCGGGGATTTAACCCGGACCGAACCCGCCCGSTCCAGCCTCGGACACAAAGGAATGRATAAAAGGAWTTYTCCTCCGGAGACTCCCCGAATTCCTACAAAATGTTCGAAACCTMGGCATTCCTGATCCAGCGTTTTTGGTCTCAGACGGAAAATAAAAATCCTGGGAGAAGGAGTTGAAATAAAAATAAAATGCCAGGAATTTTTAATGCCAGCACGGATCTTCCCTCGGCTCTTTTCCAGGTGAAGTTTTCTGGGATTGGGATCTTCCCTCAGTTCTTTTCCAGAGCAGCTTCCAAGAAGGCCATTCCARGCAGGAAATCCGGGAATAACCAAAGGAATCGTCCCAGAGTTGTAGAAGAAGTAAAATTCCACTTTTATTTAAAAATTCCTTCTAATATAGAAAACAAGAGGGGCCCTCGGGATAATCCCGGATCCCTCTCATTGCAGGAATTGCTTTATTTACAGCAGGGCCATTCCCTGCTCAGGGAAAAGTCGGGAATCTCCTTGGGAATGGCGAGGGAACGCTGGAGCCAGGATTGATCCTGCTTCTCCCAGATCCCTGCCCAATCCCAACCCCAATTCCAGCTGGGAATGGGGTGGAGAGGCAGGAATTCCCTCAGTTCCTTCCCTTGGGAAAAGTGGATAAAATCAGGGAATTCCCTGCTCTTCCCCCGCTGATTTTTGCTGAGTGGGCAGCAAAAAATCGGAATTTGGGGGGGGGGGGGATTTTTTTAAAATTTCTTGTAAATTTTTAGGGAATTCTTTGGAATTCCCAAGTTCTCACATGCCTCAATTCCTGTCGGGAATGGGATCCAAGAGGGAAATGCAGCAGCAGGCTCTGTACAGAAATCAGCTTTTTACACTATCTACAACCAGGGAGAAATCCCGGCTATTCCATGGAAAATCCTGGGGAAAACTCTACAATTCCCTAAATCACCGCTTCRGGAGAAGAATTCTTCTGGATTTTAAGGATTTTGTGGTTGTTTCTCCAGAGAATTCCATGGTTGGGTGGGAAAAACTCAAATCAACCCCGAGCAAGCACTGGAGGGAGTTGGGGSAACTCCGGGATTTTCCTGCTCCATTTTAAACATCCCAAAAAAAAAACCCCCAAGGATTTCCAGCACTGCTCCATTAAAAAAAAAAATCACGGAAAAGCGCCCAAAAAAACTATTAAATAATTTAATATACAAGTGGTAAAAAGCTCTGTACATTGTGGGATTGCAGGGATAGAAAATCACCGGGATCTGCTCCAGGAATTCGGGAATTCTGGCAGTGGGAAGAGGCTCTGGAGCTGGGATAAAGGCCCAAAGCCCCAGAGGGAAATTCCAGGGGGATTTTCCTGATGTTCCACCAAATTCAYGAATCCTGAGCTGGGAGATTCCCCCCCTTCCCCTTCCTGGAGGTGGAAATTTGGGAATTTCTGGGAATTCCTCTCCCCCACACCATCCCCAGGGGGTGGGAAAGGCTCCTGTCCCACAGGAACTGCTGGAATTCCCTGGAAAAGGCTCTCCCCAAGCTCAGCCCCAACCACAGCTCTCGGGAATTGGGATTTTTCCCGATTTCTCCCGAAATGGGAAGGATGCGGCTGCCCTGGAATCCAGGCTGGAGCAGCCTGGGATAGTGGAAGGTGTCCCTGCCCTGGGATTGGATGATCCCAAAGCTCTTCCCAGCCCAAAATCTGGGAATTTCTCCCTAAAAATCCAAGCCAGAGGTGAGGCCGGCCTGAAATTCCAGAATATTCTGGAGCTGGAAGGGACCCAGGAGCCTCCAGTGGGATGGAGAGGGAAAGGTTGGAGTCCCTGAGCGGGGTTTGGGATTTAAACCTTTCCCAGTCCAAGGAAAACGCCGAGGAAAAGCATTCCAGGGCCTAAAATCAGAGGGGAATTCCCCMGAGGGAATAAAAACACGGAATCTGCTCTCAAACCAACCCAAAAAGGGACAACTCCCCAAATTATCCATGGGGATCAACATTCCTGATCAAAATCCTGGGATCTCGGAGCTCCTGGGATCCCAAATTTCACCAAGGAGGGGGATCCAGGGGAGCTCCCGTGGCGGTGCCAGCCCTGGATCCACAGAGCAGGACCCAGCAAAGTCCACGGATTTGGCTGGAAAATCCCCGGATTTGGGACCTCTGCGAGATCTCCCAAATTTCTGAGCTCCAGCAGCACCGAGGGCTTTCCTTGAAACCAAGAAAAAATCCCAATCCTGAATAAAAACTCCCAATCCTCAACCCCAAAAGATCCCAGGGAAATCCAGGTCCTTTGGAGATTTCCCAACGCCCAGGAGGAGCTCTGGGAGCAGGAATTCCAGAGACAGCACCTGGAAAATCCCATTTTTKGGGAATGGGGCTAAAACCTCATCCCTGGAATGACTTCCAGAGGTAAAAATTGACGGATTTGGGTGGAATAAAAAATCCCTGTGAGCTGCTCTAGGAGCAGGGATGGGATTTGGGAAGGAAAAAYGACTGGAATGAGGGAATTTCATGGTTCCTTCCCATCCAGCTGGCATTAAAGAGATTCCCAAAAATCTCTTGAAGTTTGAGGGGTTTGGTTCTCCTCTTTCCAAACCCTCCAAGATTTCTCTTCCCTCCCCTTTTTCCAGCTGGGAGATTCCAGCAGGGGAGAGGAGCTTTATTCCCTCGCAGGCACTGCTGGAATCCCGGGAAACTCCAGCTGCTTCCCGGGATTCTGCATTCCCAGCTTTCCACAGGGAGAACTCGGCTGGAAAATCCCAAAAAAACTGGGCTGGAACGGGGAATTTAACCTGGGAAAACCTGGGAAAAGGGGAGTTGGTGCCAAGGGCGAGGCTGGAATTTCATCCCAAACCTCSGGATGAGGCTGGAGCTGGATTTCAACCCAGGCTCAGGCCTGGATTTGGGAATGCTTAAGGCACAGGTGCCTTCAGGCTGTCAGAGAATTTGGGATCAGCAGGAACATTCCCGCTTTCTCCCCGATCCCAAAGGCGTGGAGAGAGCTGTGGTTGTGGGGGAGGTGGGGAAGGGCCCCCCTGGGAATCCCAAATTCCTCCCTTCCCCGCAGGGAATTCCAGGGCAGCCTCCAATCCGTGATTTTCCGTCCCGTTATCCCCAAGGATTGGATTCCCGGGATGGGGAGCCCCAAACCCAGCACAAACCCGGGAATTCCCACCTGGAAAAGCAGCTCCAGAGGCTCTTCCCACTGGAACATTCCCGGGTTTTCTGCCACCTCTTCTACAAGGCCTCACTACCAGCGGGAATTCGCTGCCTTTTCATGGAAGAAGGGAAGCTTTTCCATGGATTTTTTTCCCCCCCTCCCCCAGTTTTTGGCGCTTTTTTGTTTTGTTTTTGTCTCCGGGGTGTTGTTGCCGGATCTCCTGGGATCTCCTGGGATTTCCTGGGATTCACAGGAGACTGGCCAGGCTGGTGGTGGGGCCGTTCTGGGCCTGGAACTGGACTGGGGGGGGTCCGTCCGTCCACTGCAGAGGGAAGAGCAGCGTCAAAATCCCGGGAAAAATTCCCTGGGAAGCGCCAGGAAATCCCTCCCTGCCCCAAGGCAATCCCACAYCCCACCCCACATCCTGCTGGGATTYASTTTTCCAGGGGTTTTTGGCATTTCAAACTCAGGRAAAGCAATTCCTGTTGGGGCAGGGAAAAATCTGATCCCAAAATCTGGGAATTTTCCWCAAAAACAAAAAACTCAAGCAGACACAAAAGAGAACAAATCCAAGTTTTGGGCATCAAGAAAACCCCTGGAAAAGGCAAATCCCAAATCCGTGAAGCCAAACGCGTAGAATGCATTAATGGGTCAGTTTTGCAGCTGGAAAAGCAGGAATTGTGGGGATTGTGGGAATTGTGGGAATGCTGACCGTGATCAGGTTGTGCTCGGGGAGGCTGCAGGCCTCGATGTGGTCCTGGAGCAGCTGCTGCGAGAAGTTCTGGTGCATCTGAGCGGCCTCGTGCGCGTCCATGGCGTTCCCACAGGCCTTGTTCAGGTCTGGAAAAGTGGGAAAAGCACGGCCTCCGTCCCCATCCCGACATTCCAACCCCCCTCATCCCAAAAAACCACCCTGGATTGTAAAACTGGGGAGTTTCTGCACCCAAATCGCCTCAGTTTGGGGCAAAATCTTCCAAAAAAACTCCAGAGATCCTGAACCTTCCCCTTCTCTAAAGGCAGGGATTGTTGGGATTCCCAACTCCAGGGATCGTTGGGATTCCCAACTCCTGGGATTGTTGGGATTCCCAGCTCCAGGGATTGTTGGGATTCCCAACTCCTGGCACCACCAAAATCCAGAAATCGCTTGGATCAGGATTTTTGGCTGCCAGCCCCATCTGGTGGGGCTGGGAAAGATTTTAGGGATCAAAGATTCCTTTTCTTCCCTCAAATCCTTGGTTTTTAGGGAGCTCCAGGCCCCTCCCGCTTTTCCCCAGGAAGCTGCTCCAGTTCCCATGAGGTTCAGGAGCCCAGCCAGGTTCAATTATCCAAATCCAGGGAATTTCAGGCAAGAATTCCAGCGTGGCTGGAATCAGATCAGCTCCACGCTCTCCCCTCTCCCGTGGCCAATCCCCGTTCCAGGTACCTCGGAGCAGGGCTGAGGACCAGAGCTGCACCGACATGTCCGGGATCTTGCTGGCCAGCTGCATGGCCGGCACCACCATGTTGTTGCTTTCCTGGAAAAAAAAAATGGGAAAGGCAAAAACGGGGTTTTGGGGGAATTCTGTACATCCTCACGAGCACGTTCTCATGCAGAGAGACGGAAAATGGGATTGTTCCCACAACAATCGTCCTTGGGATGGAGGGGAATAAAATTCCCAAGGATTCCTTGGGATGGAGGGGAATAAAATTCCCAAGGATTCCTTGGGATTGCAGGGAATAAGATCCCAAGATTCCCAGGGATTCCCTGGGATGGAAAGGAATAAGATCCCAAGGATTCCCTGGGATTGTAGTCAGTGACATTGTTCGCTAAAAACACTTGAAAAACCCCATTATTCTCCCCCGTATCCTGATTTCTGGGGGGATTTTTTTTTTGGGAATGCTGATCCCAGTTTCCCAGGCTCAGGAGGGTTTTTGGGAATCACCCTGTGGTTTCCCAGCACGTAGAAGATGTGGCCCAGCAGCACCAGCGAGCAGGCGGTCAGGCGGTTCAGGTCCTCGGCGTTCGACATCTTCAGCGTCTCCCGCAGAAACCGCCTGGAAAAACGGGAAAAACGGGAATTGGCAGCTGCCCCCGGCTGGGAGGATTCCCTGGATATCCTGGGGGAAATCCTGGATTCATCAAACGCCAGGAGTTGGGATCAGTGAGCTGGAGGTGGCTGTAAATCACGGGAATTCCCAGATTTCATCCGGGGATTGGCCGGAGCCGCCTCCTTTGGGAAGCTGCAAATCCTTGGGATGGAAGGGAATAAAATCCTCAAATTCCCAAGGATACCTYGGGATTGATGGGAATCAGAGTCCCAAGGATTCCTTGATTTTGCAGAGCCCCAAGATCCCCACGAATTCCAGGGAATGATTCCCATGGAAAGAGCTCAACCCCACCATTTCCCCTCAATCCCCCCGGACAATCYGGGATCAATCCACAGGGAGAGCAATTGGGGATGGGAAGCGAGGCCTCAGGACCTTCCCCTTCCCAAAAAACCCATCCCAAGGGAGCTGGTTTGGGATTTCCCGGGGATCAGGACTCACTTGGCCTCGTTGTATCTTCCCTGGAAGAACGAGAAGAGCCCTCGGATGTAGAAGGCGGCGGCCCGGAGACAGTGGGAGCTGTGGGGARAACACCTCAACATCCCAAACCCCACAACTCCACCCCAAATCCAACCTCCAGCACGATATCCCATTGCAGGCACTTCCAGGACCCTCCCTTGGAACTGAGCTGGTTCTTCCTTTGTTTAAAAATCCCGCTCTGAACCCGCCGCTCCCATCCCGCAGTTTTGGGATTTGTTGGGRTTTTTTGGAATTCTCACCTCACAGGGAAGTTGTGGTCGGGATTTATCCTYTCCAACAAACTGTAGAGCTGGAAAACGGGAGAGGACAGGGAATCAGCAGCGTTTCCCACATGGAAAAATCACTTTTCCAAGGAAAAATTKACCCTCAGGGCTCTGAGAGGGTGGAAATYGGGAATTTGGGGGAATTTTTGGGAATAAGCTGCAACACTCGGGAGCAGCTCCCTATTCTGGTTATTTCTGTGATTGCCTAAAATTCCTGGCCATGGAAAACGATGGAAAATGAAGCCAAAGGGTTGAATGGGAGATAAGAGTTAAACCTCTATTCCCATGGGAAGAATCCTGGGAATGAGCCAGAAAATTCTGCTCCAGAACATCATTTTTGGTGTTTTCCAGCTGATTCCTCCCAAATTCCCAGTCCCMTGCTGGAGGAGCTGCTTCCAGCAAGGCCCTGAAGGTGCAAAGCCCAGGAATTGTCCCCAAATGCAGGATCTGGCCCCGCTGACCTCCTGGTGCCGGTTGCCCTCGCGGATGTAGACGCTGGCCAGGTTGGTGACGATGAACGCCCACAGCTCCTGGTGGGTGGTCAGCTGCAAAGGGACAGCATTCCCAAATATTTCCATCATTCCCTCAGGATTTGCTCATTCTCACAAAAAAAATCAGCTAAAAAAAACATTTATTGATGCTTCATTCCCATCAATCCCCCCAGCCCTTAACTGGGGAAATCCTTAACGAACAATGGAATTTATGGCATTTTCCCTTCCCACCACCCCAAGGCCCATTCCCGGGTTTCCAGAGGAAGATTTGGGAATTCTCACCCTCAGGGCCGTGGTGAACTGCGCCTCAGCATTGTCCATGCAGTTCACGGAGATGCAGTAGAGGCCCTGGAAAAGAAACCCCATTTTCAGGTGGGAATGCAGCCCCAAGCATTCCCAAATCCAYGGAAATGTCGGAATAACAGCAGGGAAAAGGGACCAGCAGGGCTCAGCTGTGGGAAAAGATCARTAATTGCTGCAAAATGTCCTTTAARATGAATTGTTCATTGAAAGAAAAGCTTTGTTCAGCTGGAAAACCTTCCTTAAARTCATGGAAAGCTCAATATTCCCAATGGGAACTCTTCCCTTTCCACAATTCCCACAAAAAGCCTTCTCCAGTGGGCACAGCTGAAACCCYGAATTTCCCTTTTTCCAGCKGATTCCTCCCAAATTCCCACTCCCACCATGAAGGAGCAGCTGCCAGCCAAGGCCTTGATGGCAAAAGCACCCAGGAAAAGTTGAATCTCAGGAATTTTCCCCACAG